GTCTTTGGTGCAAATGCTCTCAGTGTACATAAAAGAAAAGATACATTCATCCAGAGTCAAGATTCATCAGGTACATACTAGGAAACAGTCAATATAAATCGTAAGGATACAGGCGACAAAGTCACAGTCATATAGTCACAAGTGGGTGATAAGGAGTGATGAGGAGATTAACGGTAATAGTAGTGCAGACTTTGTAAATAGTTGAACAGTGTTGAGGGAAGTATTTGTTTAGCAGAGTGATGGCTTTCGGGGAAAAACTGTCCTTGTGTCTAGTTGTTCTGGTGTGCAGGGCTCTATAGCGTCCTTTTGAGGGAAGGAGTTGAAACAGTTTATGTCCGGGATGTGAGGGGTCTGTAAATATTTTCACAGCCCTCTTTTTGACTCGTGCAGTATACAGGTCCTCGATGGAAGGCAGGTGCGCTGTAATTGTTTTTTCTGCAGTCCTAATTATCCTCTGAAGTCTTTGTCTGTCCTGTTGGGTTGCAGAACCAAACCAGACAGCTATAGAGGTGCAGATGACAGACTCAGTAGTTCCCCTGTAGAACTGGATCAGCAGCTCCTTGGACAGTTTGAGCTTTCTGAGTTGGTGCAGAAAGAACATTCTTTGTTGTGCTTTTTTGATGATGTTTTTGGTGTTAGGTGTCCATTTTAGGTCATGTGATATGATAGAACCTAGAAATTTGAAGGTCTCGAAATGTGAAATATCGAAAGCCTTAATGGTGTTTTTCATCTTTTCTTTCTCCTGCACCAAAGACAATCAAGAAAGGGAATCTTGAGTTTCTTTCACATGCTGCACAAGTAGTCGACTTACAACAGTTCGTTTAGTGACCGTTTGAAATTACAAGGGCATTGAAAAAAGTGACCTATGACTGTTTTTCACCCTTATAACCATTGCAGCACTCCCATGGTCACATGATTTGGATGTTTGACAACTGACTCACATTTATGATGGTTGCAGTGCCCCAAGGTCATGTGATCCCCTTTTGCGACCTTGTAACTAGCAAAGTCGAAGGGAAAACCAGATTCACTTCACAACCAGATCACAGGTGGTCCTTGACTTACAACAGTTCATTTAGTGATCGTTCAAAGTTACAATGGCACTGAAAAAGTGACTCATCATGACCTGTTACGAACTTTACAGGTGTAATGATTCACTTAACAATGGTGGCAAGAAAAGTCGTAAAACGAAGCAAACTGACCCTTAACAAATGTTTCACTTAACAGCATGAGTTTTGGGCTCAATTGGGGTTGTAAGTTGAGGATTACCTGTATGTAGTTACCAGGACCAAGCTCCTGTTTTGCTAACAATGGCCAAATATATTCTCCAAGCTCACCTGTGTCCTCTTCTACACTGGGAGATTGTATGAGAAACGATAAAAATTACGATTTTGGGCTATAATTGCAACTTTCGGCAGCAATGGTGATTTTTGTCATCCTGCCATCCACTGGACTGCAGGCAGCCAATCTTTATTTTGGTTTATTTTCTACGTTTAGAGAAACCTGCCAGCTTACATAGAGCAGGAACCAGGGATGGGATTCTACCAGTTTGCACCTATTCGCTAGAACCGGCTGTTAACATTCTAAGCAGTTCGGAGAACTGGTTGTTAGAAGAAATTACTGGCCTAATCCTGTAAGGAAGGCAGGAAGGAAACATTCTGGTGTTGCTTACAGAAACTGCCTCTCCGTTAACCCTTATTACATTCTTGGCAGGACTAGACTTCCTGTCTCTGGAACTTCTCTGGAGTTTTTTTTCCCCTCCTTTGCTAGTACTTTGCTTGTGTGGAGTGACCATTCAAAGTTACAATGGCACTGAAAAAAGTGACTTATGACCATTTTTCACACTTACGACTGTTACAGCATCCCCACAGTCATGAGAGGCCAGGCGAGGAGATGCGTGCCTCGATGTGAGTGATATTGAGTTGGCCACACCCAGCCAATAACATGACCACCAAGCCACGCCCACCACCTAAGCCACGTCCACAGAACCAGTTGTTAAAAATATGAATCCCACCCCTGCCAGGAACCCACATAAAACATCCACAGTAATACAACAAAGGCACAATAAAGGCACACTGCTCAAACAGAACTACAAGCAGTGGTGGGATGCTGCCAGTTCAGACAGGTTCACCAGAACCCCTTGTCCCGATTCTGCACGGTTCGGAGAATGGGCAAATCAGACCACCGGCAGGCCCCAGCCCTGCCTGTTGTTTGGACCATTTTTGGCCTTTTTAGGGGTGAAAAACAGCCTGAAAAGGCCCCCCCAAAGGACTGTTTTTCAGGCTGTTTTCAGGTTATTTTCAGGCCATTTTTCAGGCTGTTTTCAGGCGTATCTTGGCTGGAAAAACAGCCTAAAAATGGCCTGTTTTGTGGGCTTTCAAGCCATTTTTGAGCTGTTTTAAGGCCATCTTTCCAGCCAAAATTGGCCTGAAAACTGCCCAAAAAACTGCCTGAAAACGGCCTAAAAACAGGCCAAAAAATGCGCAGGGGCAGGGCCAGGCAGTGATGGGATTAGTCCCAACCAGCTGAATCCAACCTCTTCCTTTGAGGCGAGTGACCAGGAGGTGGGGCTGGCTGTGATGAGTGACATCACCCACTCAGTCACATGACCAACCGGCCACGCCTACCCAGCTAGAGAACCGGTTGTTAAAAAATTTGCAGCCCACCACTGACAACAAGCATTAAAAATAGGGAACAGAGATGGCTTCATAACCTTAAGATAAGGTTCCACGAAATAACTTCACTTTTAAAAGCTTCCAAAATGTATGTGTATATTATGTTTATGTATATGTATATGTGTATATATATATTTATATGCAGGTCTTCGCGTGTTCAGGGCTTTTTCTGTGTAAGATTGAGAGCATCTTGGCAACGTTTCGACGAGGTCCCACTCGCCATCTTCAGGCTGGTGCTTTTGGCTTCGTGCTTGTGCGAGCAAAGTGTGATCGGAGCTGCCGTCTCCCTATATATACTGGTGGGGAGGTTGGCTATGTTGTCATTTCTTGATTGATTGATGGAGTTGATGTTTGCAGATTGGCTGGCTTTTTTGTAAGAACATGTGTGGCTGAGGTATTGGCTGTGAGTCTATCCGCCTCCTGTGTTGTAAAGACCTGGGTAATGGGCTGTGTGATGACCTTCTGGGTTCTATTGTTTTGACATCCTGGGTCTTGTGCTGTAATCTCCTGGGTTGTAATGACCTGGGTCATGGGCTGTGTGATGACCTTCACCAGCCTGAAGATGGCGAGTGGGACCTTGTCGAAACATTGCCAAGATGCTCTCAATCTTACACGGGAAAAAACCTGAACAGGCCAAGACCTGCATACCTGTACCCGTGAAAATCTACAAAAACATTTAAAATTGTAGCAACGTTTTGGCAGAATCTCATCTGCCATCATCAGGCTTCTGTATAGTGTTCATCTGACAAACACTATACAGAAGCCTGATGATGGCAGATGAGATTCTGCTGAAACATTACTACAACTTTAAAAGCACAACTATAATGACGTGGAAAAATACCCGAACAAAGCTGAATACCATACATATAAATATTCATAAAAATTTAAGAAAATATATATATAATTTTATATAATATATATATATATAATTTTCAATGCATGTTATGGGGGTAGCCCTTCCATAGTAATTATTTGTTAATTACTACACATGAGCCTCTCTACCTACCCTT